ACTGAAGTTAAGGAGGTTATAAGATTCCCTTAGCAACAGACTTTGATCCAATAAAATGTTGTGTTTAATTTGAGAACATAGAAAAATTATTGCATAATGCCATGCTTTCAAGGGTGAAGAAGTCAGTTAAAAACCGAAAAAAGCCAGGACCTAAAAAGGGGAAAAACTTTCAAATTTTCGGATTACAAATGAAATATGAAATTATCACCAGGGTTCCATGGGGCTCTAATGTTGAAATATTCCGTAATAAATCACAGACCAGCAAATTCAGAATTCAAGATTTCCGTAAGAATCTTCGTTTTCGTAGTGTGTCTCATGAACATAATCTTTGTCCACTGAGGTAATACCAACCTCTTTTGAACTTGTTTCGGTAATGTGTCTTCGTTTTCGTGATGGGTCTTCGTTTTCGTGGGGTGGTCTTCATTTCCGTAATGGGTCTTTGTTTTCCTAAGGGGTCTTACGTCTTCGTTTTCGTAACTACCTATGTGCACTGCGGATGAAGAAACGAATATAGATCGTTTTCACGTGACGTCACGGAATTAATTTACGCCATGTTGCATTGGTGCACATCTGAATTACCCTGAGTCACGTGTTTCAATCATTATTATATGCACTAAACGGTCCAAATTTATAGATCCAGACCATGTCGTCCAAATTCCACTGTCTGATTACGTTAAAAAACTGGATGTAAAAGTCAGAGAGCGTTATCTAAAGAAGATTTCGACCACCGGTATCGATCCCGTTTTGATAGATGGCAAACGCTTGGAACCTGATTGCTTACCGTCGGCAGAATCGTCTGATTTCCTCTGCTATTTGGTTCTAGAGACTAGCTATTATACGCAAAAACAATTTAAGCCTTCCGGAGTCTCGAAGTCAACAATCAAATGGTGTCGGGCTTTGTTTGCGACCCTCGCAGTTATGAATGCGACAGAACTAGTATTGAAAATAAGGCCTGAAAAAAAAGTCAAGTCCTTGAGGGATTTGAACCCATGACCTTTGCACCGGTATCGGTACTAATGTGTAGTTTGTGTTAGTTATATACCTCAAAAACCGGGCACGTAAGGATTTTTTTTCCGGAAGGCACTCGCAAAGGTTTTGAGGAACCTTGATTAAGCATGGCTGGGGTGTCCCTCGGAGGATTGGGGCGAGTAGAGGAGGACATATGACTTGGCTGTTTGTTTTGCAGGATGGATGGTTGTGAGAGTGAACAATGTTTCGGCGAGAATGTGTCATTTTCCGTCGAATTTTGCTAAGGTAAGAATGTAATTTATTAACTTGTCCCCGTAAGCATTTCTAGCTCTTGTTATAAACTATAGGATGTCTATCAGTCTTGAATGCGATCACTGAAACCCAAGTGAAATTGAAGTTTAATTTAAGCTGAGAGCTGAGAACGACCGTCTATGCTTTCGATAGGAATTATAACTGTTGGTAACTTAAAAAAATCACCAGCTTATTTTCTGTCCTTCGACAAAGCACATTAGGGTATGTGTCACGAGGCTATTTACAACCCGTTTAAGTGATACCTCGTTAAAATTGGTTCTCGTAAATTAAGGGTTGTTACGCATGAAATTATCCACACGAGAGTTATGGTCACACGAAAGGGTCTATTTTTCTCCCGTCGAGACTCTTGTGAACGGGAACTTTCAGTCTCTCAAAACGCGAAAGTCAACTTTTATTCCAAAATCTTCTCAAAATAGCAAAATTATGCACCAACAACGTCTATTTTTGCGATTCGATCGTTAAATGCTGTTTACCAAAAAAGATTATGTCTCTACAATGTCTTGCGTTTACCTGAGATCACGGCATAGAATGGCTTCTTCGAAAATATCTTAACTTACTTACAAAGCGTTTTTTAAACACAAAAACTTGCATAATACCAGAGTACTTACATACAGAGCTCCAGAATTATAATCGTGGAATGCCCCTCTCCCTGAGACCAGCTGGTCTAAAATGGAATGTGAAGACAATTTGGCGGTACTTAGGCCTAGTTCAAACGTCGATCTTTACATGTACCGAACCTAACGTTTCTATTAAGTACATGTAAAGATCGACGTTTGAATCAATTAGGATCGGCAGATTTGTATAGACGTTTAAATCAACTGCCGCTCTTAATTATTCGAGTCGACCCAAATTGCAATTAGGTTCGGTACATGTAAAGATCGACGTTTGAACTAGGCCTTAGAGAGTATATATGCGCAAGCTCGGAGAATTTGTCATCTAAAAAGCAGTTTTTGGAATCGCTCGATATTTCTAAACAGATTTCTTAAAATACAGCGTTGAAAAGTGAAGTAAAGGCGAGTCTGTTTCGCTTTCGAAAAGCAAAATCAGCGGCCGCACGTGTCGTAACTAATGAAGAACATTCAAATAAGGTCTGACTGGCTTAGAGTTGTGTGTTTACTAAGTGAGATTGCACGCTTTATTGGCTCGTTCGGCGTGGTATGCAAGATAAACAAGCTACACAGCCTCCCGAATGTTTATTCAAGATCATCATGTCCTTGAAGCATGAGGTTAGGGTTATCCGGATCCTCGATTATCCGGACTATTTTGTCTAGTCCTAACGAGTCCGGATGATCAAGGTTCGACTATATCGTCAATTGTGAGGAACAAAGATTTTAGATATATGAAAATTTCACATATTTGCACTGCGGTGGATTATTGGATCAAAGTCTGTTGCTAAGGGAATCTTATAACCTCCTTAACTTCAGTTCCACGTTCTCAGTGAGAATCAAATGACCCTAGCCGATCGCACAACAATAGAAGTCATATCTCAACAATACAACAAACTTCATGAAATTCACAGTAAAAAACAAAGCTTCCGAAAGAATTGATACTCGTTTCAATGCACATTACGAGCTTTTACACGTGCACAAATACACCACAAGCTGAGGGAATAAACGTAGTATGCACAGTATATGAGAATTTTTACAGGGAACTTCTCTTTCCTTAGTGGCGACGGTTGGTGATCGATGAGATACAGCTCTATCTCTTCGCAGCATTTGAGTTTGAGGCAATTTGAGGAAATCGATGCTGAAATCATGAATACAGCTTTTTCAATTCTAATCATGCAGGTCGTTTCAAATAGCCCAATGCGGAGCTTTTAAAAGGCCCCCTGGGAAGACGAAAAAATACCATAAATGAGTCGATTGACATTTCATTTAACTTAAGTGAGATATTTAGACAAACGTATAATTCAGATACCAAATTTCAGAGCTGTATTGGTAATCATCGTAGGGACTATACCGCTTGGCCCACGGAAATTCTTATTCCACCATTGGCCCGGTATTTAATGTAGGAAAATCGACTGTTATCGAGGCCGTACAAGACGTTGTGAAAGGTCTCTATGAACTTCGTGACGAGTACATAAAATTCCCAGAGACCATCGCTGAAGCCAGTTCATCGATTGCAACGTTTGGAGATCTTACCAACCTACCAAATGTCGTTGGGGCTATTGATGGCTCGCATATTAGAATTAAAGCACCCAACGACAGTGCACTGGATTATTTTAGTCGGTATCAACAGCACGACTTCATAATCCAAGCTATTGTTGATGGCAAGAAGGTTTTTATGGATTTTGCGTGTGGATATCCTGGAAGCATGCACGATGCTCGTGTATTGAGGCGCAGCACTATCTTTCAAAGAGCAGAACAGAAGAATGTCCTAACCCAGCCAACTGTTAATGTGAATGGTCATGACATAGGTCCGTACCTTTTAGGTGATAGTGCCTATCCTCTTTCTCCATGGCTAATGAAACCGTATCCAGAGGGCACACGGGACCCAAGGGAAATAGCGTTTAAAGGGCATGTAAACCCAAAAAACGTTCATTTTCTTTTCACATAGATGTTTAGTAAATATATCAAGTAAACCAAAGGTGTCCATTTTCACTTTGTAAAAGCTCTTCCAAATTCGAAACATTCGCCATCTTGA